ATGGAACCCAAAGTGCCTTACCAGCAGTGTGTCGAAGGTTGGTGCGACGGTGGGTCGAGCGCATGTGAATAGCATCCACACGATGTTGGCTAGTGGCATATCTTTCCGAACTAACCAGCGGATCCAAATCTGACCATACTCGCTCGGAACCTTCGCCGTCTGAGAGCCCCCATCCTTGGTTGAGTCTGGGATTCCATTCCAGCTGACACGCCCACCAATGCACGTATGCATGAAAAACGCTTGTGCCAAACCTGACTCGACCCAATTGGCGCTCTTCGTTGAACATGTCACGCTGGAATATATTGCAAATGAACAATGATATCACATTATTATTGCAATGTGTAGAATTACTCACCTTTTCAATTCCTTTTTGCATCTGACAACCTATATCATAGAGAAACCCAATCTTCTTATCCTCGGTCATCCCCAGGATCCACTGTATTAAGGAATAACTATAGTGTAGCCTTGAGGTAGCGCACTCTCAATCAGTTGATCGACTATAGGTTTGTTTCTATGAGATAAATTTAACATACTTTTCGCCGCTCTGGACGATGTTGGCGAACCTCAAGGGGTGGTCATGACGACACACCAATACCATTAGCCCAGTCTCATCGCATCCAGCCCAATGGCCTTTGCCTCGACGGTCATTCGCGACCGTGTGTTGGGCAGCACAAGGTTCCTGCCATTCAATTGGTCAGGCTTTGATTCGGTGGAGTGGAGTGTGACAGATGAACTTACTACTTCATCTTCGGGTAACCCTTCAAGGCGCGCTTCCATTCGATTGACCTGCTCTGGTGGCAGAAAACTTTCAGGCATAACGGTCTTGATCTTCGCTGCTTTTTGTCCTGCTACAATATGTCTCCTGTGTTGAAAATTGCCATCTAGGCACACAACGATGTCAGGCTCCGAGTTGATTGCCTTGGTATTGGTGGGCCGAAGCAACGAGGGCAATTCTCGGCAAGTTTATCTGCTGGTGAGAGGCTCATTTCCATGTCGATAGCCGTTTCGGTGGCTGATAGCATTTTGCGATACGCATCTATGGCCCATCGGAACGGAGTGTGCCATTTACGAGGCTACGGGGTTGATTGGGTGTATCAGAAATCTTCTGCCATTCCTATAATGACAATCATAGCCTATAAAGACGATCATAAACTTACTTGTTGGTTTTTCGTGAGTATTAGGGGATTGAATGCATCCAAATACTCATCCAGGGCTCGAGTCCAGGGTTCCACCCGGCTCGTACAGTACTTCCAAATTATATGGAAGAATCGCAGGAGTCGAATTGAAAACGCTGTTTGCGGGTATTTGGGAGAGCCTCCGATATATCCCATGTAGATAAGTCGAGTGTTGTCGTTCTCCTGACATCCACAAAATTGGACCTGGACCTTACGTCGATCTGCGACGTAAGCTCATTGGTTTCGTCAATATGACATGAGAGGTAAGAGAACGTTGCTCTGAATTGTAAGTAAAACATATTGCTTACATAATATATCCACCATATCAACCTGCCTACACCGCAACGTGCTGGGTGCGCATCTACACCTGGCCTTGTCCTTGTGATCCACATCCCACCTCGCGGGATCACCCCATTCAGCGGTAGACATATGACACTCCAGGTAAGCGTAGAACATTTCCTGAGTTGCGCGTTGCAAAGCAATAGCCCGATCCTGTCGTTCGGCTTCAATACGGGCTCGCCTAATATCTTCAATAAAATCAGGAGTTTCGGGTCGTTTGTGATCTTCTTCAGCGTCGTGATCGTATATGTAAGGATCTTCAATAAAATCTGGCATCGGTATCGCATTGTCTACGACTAAGAAACCTGGGGTACGTGCTTTCACCGCGGCAGCCATCCTTTCAAAATGCTTTCGTTGAGCTTCTGTTTTGGGGGCCTTCGTCCAATACGGTTTGGCCGCTTTGAAGGCCTGGTGTTTCCCAGTGAATCGCGGCATCGTGAGATAAAGGTTGGATGGTTGGAGGTGATGAATGAACCGGTCGCGAATCGACAAAGAGGGCAATGTGTGAGTGACTATGACTATGTATGTGTTAGGTAATTTCTGTCTGCATAGATTTAACTGACATATGATCTGAAGGTGTCACATGCATTACATTACACAGGGGATGCCTCGTGATAGCCTTGCCTATCTATGTCCGGCCATAGGTACGTGAGGCTATCACGTCATTCCAGATTATGAGGAACATGTGCCAATTAAATTAATGGGCAAAGAGTGATGTTAGACTCTTGTTGTGATAATAGCTCATTGTATTAATAAATCTCAATGACATGAATTGAAGAGGATTTCAACATCATGAGGGTTTCCAGGGTTATGTACAATTGTCTCTAATGTGGTTATTAGAGAGGATTCCAACGTGAAAAGCATTGAAATTATGCGCGTGCGGTTGGGTGATTTGGACTGGTGTAACAAACCAGTCCAAATTATTTTGGAGCACTCACAAAGGCTGAATGTTGCCAGCGGAAGAAGTTATTGCAGGATAAGTCCACAACATGAGTGCGTGAGGCATTTGAAACAATGAAAAGCATTGAAATTATGCGCGTGCAGTTGGGTGATTTGTACCAGGTGTAACAAACCAGTCCAAATTATTTTGGAGCACTCACAAAGGATAAGTCTTTCCCACAACATGAGTGCGTGAGGCATTTGAAACAAGCGCACTCATAGTTCTTGGTGATGTGGATCTCCTGAAGTGATGCTGAGTGATTTGTCCAAGGTGTAATGAACTGGTCCAAATCATTTGGAACACTCAGAAAGGTAGAATGTTGCCAGTGGAAAAAGTTATTGCAGTATAAGTATTTCCCGCAGCATGGTTGCGTGAGGCATTTGAAACAAGCGCACTGATAGTTCTTGGTGATGTGGATCTCCTGAAGTGATGCTGAGTGATTTGTCCAAGGTGTAAAGAACTAGTCCAAATCATTTGGAACACTCAGAAAGGTAGAATTTTCCCAGTGGAAAAAGTTATTGCCGAGAAAGTCTTTCCCGCAGCATGAGTGCGTGAGGCATTGGAAACAAGCGCACACATAGTTCTTTGGGATGTGGATCACCTGAAGTGATGCTGAGTGAATTGTCCAAGGTGTAATGAACTAGTCCAAATCATTTGGAACACTCAGAAAGGTAGAATTTTCCCAGTGGAAAAAGTTATTCCCGAGAAAGTCTCTCCCGCAGCATGAGTGCGTGAGGCATTGGAAACAAGCGCACACATAGTTCTTTGGGATGTGGATCTCCTGAAGTGATGATGAGTCATTTGTCCAAGGTGAAATGAACTATTCCAAATCATTTGGAACACTCAGAAAGGTAGAATGTTCCCAGTAGAAAAAGTTGTTGTAGTATAAGTCTTTCCCGCAACATCTGTCCGTGAGTCATTCAACACAAGTGCACACATAGTTCTTGGGGATGTGGTTCACCTGAAGTGATGATGTGTGATTTGTCCAAGGTGAAATGAACTAGTCCAAATCTTTTGGCACACTCATAAAGGACCAATGACATATATGTGGACCAAGTTATTCCAGTATAAGTCCATCCCGGTGCGTGAGCCATTCAAAACCAGTGCACGCATAGTTCTTGGTGATGGGGAACATGCTGAGTGATTTGTCCAAGGTGAAATGGACTAGTCCAAATCATTTGGCATATTCAGAAAGGGTGAATGTTCCAAGTGGGAAGACTTATTGCAGTATAAGTCTTTACCGCCACATGAGTGCGTGAGCCATATTGCAGTATAAGTCTTTCCCGCAGCATGAGTGCGTGAGCCATTTGAGTGCGTGAGCCATTTGAATGTCCCGCACCATGTGTCCATGAAAGAGACGTACTGCAAACTGACAGTTCTTGCAGTTCACTTGCACCAATATTACCCCCTTACAGGACCCTCACAAATGTACTGCCGCTCATACATTACATATGTCAATGTTAAAGAAGTGCAGGTGGCTACTCAAGCATGCACATACCCCATCATCTTCATAAATATTGATTAACAAATTGCAAAAATTACAATCATTTATTTACCATACAAAAATTGCTATAAATTGTGATTTGTGAAAAGTTTTATTTACCATACAAAAATTGCTATAAATTGTGATTTGTGAAAAGTTTAAGTCCACCAAGAAGTCAAAGGCAACCTCCACACTATTCTTCAATAGACTTGGTTTGAAGAAGGAAAGAAGATGAGATAATTATCATCACCGTGTTTAACAACAGTCTAATACTTTTAATATCCCCTTCCTGTAAATCAAAAAAGCTTGCTGTATATAACTCAAGTATTTTCATGCATTATTGTTATTAGACTTTTCTCATTGATTGGCGGACAAGGCAAAAGCCAAAACCAACATATATATGCACGCTTTTCAATGTGTTTTACCATTCAACAATGACACTCAGAAGGGCCAGGCGGGCAATCAGTCATGGCAGAGAATCATGGCTGGGTGGGCCTCTGGTCACGCTGTAGTAGTCTAAAATTTTAGGGAAGATGTGTATGTACAGATCTGTAGGTACACAGATCTGTAGGTACAGAACAAAGGATGATGATGGTGAGAGGGATCCACAACCAGGGCTGACAACTGATGATATTGAGGTGATCTGGTGAGCCATGCTTCATGGCATCGTATCAGTTGTCCATGGGTATCATGCATGAGTATTGATATTGAAACCTCGTGAAGCGGACCTCTTCGCATTCGTGAATAGGATTGATAATCTACTGCATACAGCGTGATCAGAAACATGAGGTGAGATTGTCACTGCGTGGTCAAGACCTTGTAATTAGTTAGATAGAGCTTGCATACACTTATGGGCCATCGTCTACATTTATCTTTTTTGGACTGGTACAAATCAGCTCAATTGGTTGAAGTGGTGAATGCGGTGGATGTGGGGGTGTCTCAGTAGTTGATTGGGTTCGAATGCAAATCTGCTTCTCCAAAAACTTCCCGAAATCACGTATGCCCGATTGCAAAAACATTGTCAGCGTGACCCACGAGTGTAGATAAAACATGATGTACTGCCTTATAATAAATTGATGTGGAAATGTTGGGTTGTTGACTTAGGGTCGTCCCCAGGGGGGGGAGTGGTAATGATTAACCACGTACTTGATGTCCTATCCAGCGGCAACGGTAATGTTAGATCGCGCGGTTGATTGATCAGCGGAAGTACTGTACATAAGTCGATAAAGCAGCTCGTACTAACTTTGTACAGGTTCCATACTTGAATACTTTGGGTCTCATTACATTGCTCGGAGAGTTCACGGTCGGCGTCCGTAATTGGAAAAAAAGCTTTGAGTCGGTGAAAATACAAGTTATGCTCTTGAAATGCGGCAGGGTCTTGAACCGGGTAAATATCCAATAGTTTGATCAACTATTGGGTATGTTGTATAACGGATCACGGATCAGTGTCAGTGTCAATACAATCACATTCCAGGCGAAAGAGGTGAAACTCACGTCAATCTGAGATTGAACACACTGATAATATTCGGATGGAGGCATTGGCTCTTCGTTGTCTGGAGGTCGAGTCGATGTTGTTGTAGTTGGACAGTGAAGATATCGTGGTTCAGGTGGGTCGTTTGATTCGGAGAGCTTGTTGTTGACTTGCATGATTAACCAATTATAGCTGCAACCAACGGTGATGGCAAGGGGGATGGTGAGTGAGGTGAGACTGGGAATCAATCAACGAGAGTGGAATGTATTGTATTTCGTTCGAATACAATACGAATGTATTGTATTTCGTTCGAATACAATACATATGTACGGAAACTCCACCCACCCAATGATGGATGATGCGGCTCTTCTGAAAATACAGATGAGCTTATGAGGTAGTTCAAACTTCGTGAACCTTCCACCTCACATATCACATCTGGCCGGATATGGAAACAGTGTTAAATAAAGATGACGTTTACCAAGCTAAGAGGGTGCAACGATCTGCTTACCTGTTTACCTCGTAATCATCTGCCGATTATGCTGAAGGGAAGAGAGAAATCTTATTACCCATGTTTTGTAAGAAATGATTACTACTACTCAATTTAAGATAAGAGTAACCCATAACCCTTGCCACGGAGGATGAGTTTTCCAGGGCGTCAGTCAACAACGCCGCCAAAGTTGAGCGACGTTGAGCGACGTCTATTTGGGTGGGACTGGTCATGTGGGAGGCAATGCACGGATCATGTCCGTTGCATAAGGGTGTATGATAACAAAATGTGATTGATAAGCATGGACGTTTGGCATGATGTACTAAATGATGGAATCACATGTGAAACCATCCAAACATAAGGAAGAAAAATCTACAATACAGGTTAGATTGTGTCGACATCGGCCTGCAAGCATTTTTATCAACTCATGTCTTCTTTGGATGTGAAATCGTCAAGTCATGATACGAATTTTGTCAGGTAAAATGAGCAACTAGCATAGAGGGAGACAATTTTTTCTTTGGTCTGACGCCGTGTATTTATGAAATGATGTAATATTGATTTTGAAAAGATTACTGATGGGTTGGATTGTTATGAGTAGCAGGCGTACTGGTGCTCGTGCTCGCGGTTGGGATGTGAGGCACCTTTGGATCATCTCGATTGGGAAGAACAACCACAACGGTGTACCGTCGGGCTAAGATGTCTTCATACCATGTCTGCATCATGGCTTTATCGTTCATGAGCGCGGCTGGTCCCGCTGAGAGCATCTCAGCGGTAACCTTCGAATCAGGGGTTTGGTGGACTGCAAGTCGAATTTTGTTGGGAAAATCGATCCCTCGCAAGCGGACATCACAGTGTTTCTTCTTCGGATGTATGTGAACCCTAGGCTTTATTAACTTGGGGCTAACTTTCGTAAGGTGGTCCACTGTAGTGGGCCGTATGAGGGACAAGGTCAGATATACGAATGCGCGTCTCATGGATGAAATAAGAAATATAGGAATAAGATACAAGACTGACAGACAAGCTGATTCAAGGAGAGCGTGAAGTCCTTGCGTAGTTGATCGTTTGGAGTTACGGCCGGGGTTTTGGACTGGCGAGTGGTACGGTTGCGACCAGTGACAAAACGGTCAAAACGTTCGAGTAGGTGATTGCCAAATGAGAAAGCGCTTAGGTAGACTGGGTCAGAACTAAACTCCTTACTCCATCCGGAGTAAGGGTTGGTGGTAGTGGGGTGCCAAGATGCGGCCAACAGGTGATAGTGCATACCGTAGGTCTTGTGGGCCGCTTGAAGCTGTGATGATTGATGAATAGGATCACGTCAGTGTATTATTTACAATAGAACAAGCAGATTGAACTTACCGATGAATGAATCAGTTCCATTTGCTTGATGCCCTTTTCTTGGAACTTGGCGATTTGGTTGACATTGCGGCTAAGAGCAAGCTCATCTTTGAGTTTTTGAATGTTGACAAGTCGCTCAAAGGTGGGACGAAGCTCTTCTTCTTCGGCGGACAGGTTTTCGTGAGGTAGAAGGTCGGTGGGATTATTGGCCATCACAAGTGCAATGCGATTAAAGATGGGTGCACTAAAAACCTCGATGTCGAGTGAGGCCTTGACTTCTTGCCAGGCGGCACAGACAGTCCTGTTGTACGTCCCCAGGCCTACAACATCGTCTATTGGGGGCACTGGATGTTGAAATTTATTGCTTAGTGTAGTGAGGTCGCGGAACAAAGGATTGAAAGAAAAGATGAGGAACTCACTTATATTGTCAAGCGTCGCGACCTTGCTGAATTTTCGAAATCGGTGGTAAGGCTTGGTCTCGTCTTCGCGCACGGCACGATGACTGTTTGGTAGAGAATAGGAATCAGGGTTGAAGACATGAGTGAGAAGCGAGGCAAACTTGGTACTTAACACTCCGTATTTAAGTGTGTCATACGATACCCCTCCGGCGATGCTCAAGACCTGCAAGCGTGTGACAAGTTCTGCTTCAAGCGCTCTGGCTTCGTCGAGAATGTCAGGTGGGATTCGATTGTTTCCTTTAGCCTTGGTGCAAAGAAGGTAATGTGCAAGTTCGGTAGAATTCCATGTCTCGGCAAGGTCTTTGTAATTTTGAAGGCTTGGGGCGATCGGGGGGGATTTAGCTAGGCGTATTCCGTTGGAGTCAAAAGGGATCGTGGGTATGTTTGGGTGAGGCAGGTCTGTATGAGGTGGTGGGTATACCGTGGAGGTTATGTTTTTCCCTCTTTTAATTACTCTTCCTGGG